ATGATGATGATATGATGATAATTACAACCCTAAAATACATATAACCTTCCAAAAAGTCCATTCTCTATGCCAGCCTACAAATCCAATATGTCAGTATATCCTCATTAAAATAATATCTCATTCTCATTAGTTTCAAAAGAATAGCTTAATTTTCATTTTGTTCCATGCTTACACACATAAGATTAAAGAAAGATAACCTAAATATATTTCTTCCTTTTACAAACAATTTTCCTGTAAAAGACATGGAACTTGTAACTTGAAAGGGCTAGCCCAGAATTGAACTATTATTTTCAGTTTTTCTATTTCATTCTTCCTTTATTTCAAAGTGATTCAGATTTATAGTGAGAGAACAAAGTAATGTGATAATGGAAGCCGATGAATTATTGCAATAGTACGTGGATAAAAACTGGTTCAATGAGATATGGTTATGAAATAGTAAGAAAGTCAAAGTAAAGTGAATCTTCATTATTCTAGGATTTAAATATTTCTCCGAAGAATGAGAAAATAACCCCCTCTCCATCTTCTGGGAGTAATTACCTCTCCTTAAAGAAGCAGTATTAACATTAGTGCATCTCCCGTTTTCATTTGCCAAAAGCTTTCTTCCACAGCCCCCTGGAAAAGAACTTGGCACTGGGCTTTTGTCTTCTACCTTTTCTCAGGAGAAAATATTAAGAAGGACTTAACAGTAGTCAAACAAAGTTAAACATGTACCGATTTTTTGTGGTGAAGGGAGGAGAGAGTTGATGTGTCATATTCAATTGTTGATTTTGATGTCTGGGATACTTCCTTAGAAAGCAAAGTGTTAGTCTCTAAGTTAGCACTCTGCTATGTTCACATTCTCATAAAGAAGTTCTATCTCACAGAAAACTTGAAATTGATTATTTCAGTAACATATTCAGTAAAATTGGATACGACTGTGTAATTTACCTTATTTTTCAAGTAAGAAAAATGGCTGGGAGAAAAATACTGATGGCCATGGCTTCAGACGTGTTGAGGATAGAATCTATATATACATGTTATCCTGCTAATACCTTTTAAAAAAAAAAGATCCAGAGTTTTTCTGTTTCTGTTATATTTTACGTTGAACTTACTGTTCAAGAATATTTGTTCATTTTGGCTCACTTCATTTAATTGCTAGATAATATGGTTGATGTGATGTGTATTTAATACACAGAGTTTAATAGAATATTGTTGTGGTAAATAAGAATTCAGGATTTGTCTGCCTTTCTCTTTTCTTCCAAAGAGCACCAGAAATGACTTTCCTGTAACAGAGATGCCATTCTTTCCCTCTTGTTGAATCCCCAGTCTGGAGATCCTTGTTTTAATAGAAGAGTCATCTGATCTCACCTGGTTATAAAATGCCCAGATTTCTTAACAGATCTTTTCTGCTACCTGGAAGAGAAAATATTTGCTTTAAGTGAGATAGGAGGTGAAAAACAAATACTCCGCCTTTGCCTCTTAAAACCTCTTTGTATTCATGAAATGTTTCTTTCTTAATGAATATCTTGTTAGGTTTGGTTATCTCATTAACATTTAATTACAAAGACTCATTTTTATAGATTTTATAAGTTTGCACTTGCTAGCTATATACATTATAGTGATGATTGGTTTATAAGGATTGTGATAATGTAACCATTTTTAACCTTACAGTAATAGCCATGCAGAAACCTAAACATTTACTTCAGCAAATGTATAGGAAAGAGAGGAAAAGATGACTGGTTGAACTCTTAGCCTGTATCATTTTGGTGGCTTCTTAGAAGTCCAAGACCTCACATATATGATTTTAGAAACTCAGTGTTAGCAATTTACTTTCCAATGCCTTTTTAATGTGTGGCTCAAAATATACCACAGCTAACTGAGCGGTCAAGACCAATGAAATTCACTAATACTGAACGTTTTTCTGTTTACAACATCTTAGGTTTTTCAGGCATCAGACAGGCAGTGTTCCTGCTTCCCAGTTTCTAGCACTAGTGTTTTCCTCATGAGGATTAACTACCTGGACTTGATGATTCTCACTGGCATTTAATATAAAGTATAATTTTTATGCTAGTGTCATTTTCAAAGTACTCAGTACTTCCAAATGATGTTTTACTTGTGAGATTTTTGAAATAAGGATTATTGCCCAGCATCTACATGTGGAATGAGTATCATAACATGGCATCTATCATAATGTTTCACTTGTAATATTTCTGGTAATGTTTCCTTGGAAGAAATTTGGGAAGAAGATATCTGAAGGCTAGCTTTTGAGAAATTTAAAGATGTCACAATGTCTCCCCATCGATAAAGTACGCATTTTATGTTCTCTCTCCCAATTTCCCTTGTGGCTGTGCATGCACGTGTATGTGAGAGAGAGAGAGAGTGTGTGTGTGTGTGTGTGTGTGAGAGAGAGAGATGATTATCATATGGAGAAAGCTGCCACACTGTGTATATTAAAATCCTTATTTATCTAAGCATTCAAAAATTATTCTTAGTAACTCTCTTATTACTAAGGGCCAAGAAGATTATTAGTTCTCATTTACCAGTTACATGATGCTCTGAGTAGAGCCTGAGAGACTTTTAAATTAAAAAAACAAATTAGATGAGCATGCCTATTTTGTGTGTTAACTTTTGTACAGAGAATGTTAAAATTAAACTCACTAGTTAGATCTCTGAAGATGATTTATAAAACTTCTAAATGTGTCTTGACTTAAATTATTGTAAATTTTATGGAGAAAAACATCTATACTCTTCATGTTAGGTGCAACCTATCCAGGTGACAAAAGAAATTAAAATCACAAAACTCTAAAAAATAAGTTTTATTATCAGTGACTCAAATTTTGATTTGTTTATATTTATGAATGGCCTTTTGAGATCTGCAAAATAATAAAATTGTTCTTTTTCCCAGAATTACCCCTGGACTACAAATTTTCAAGGTTTTCTTCAAGCAATTCAAAAACAGCTGGCTACTATCCAAACCCTCCATTGATCTTATCAAATAATGAGACACTGACAAGCAAATAAACTGTCTTTACTGGAAAATGAAGTGAAGAACTATATATGCAGCAAGTCTACTGTAAAAATGTTATCTTTCAAAAAATACTATAAAATGCTTTATAGGAACAAATTCTTAATGATAACTGACCAAGAAATTGATGTTTTTTCCATAGGTCTCCTTTCTGTATAGACCATCTTTATGCCCAACAACTCTCATTATGTTAAAATCTCAGTATCTTAGAACTGAAAAGAACCTTAATATTTTCTATACCAATAGTTCTGAGATTAGGATTCATCTGTGGATTAGGAATCACCTGTGTAATATATACATATATTCACACACACACACACACACACACACACACACACACACACACACAATTTACACATATGCCTAGACCAGTGGTTCTCAAAGTATAATCCCCAAACCACTAACACAGCATCACCTGAGAATCTGATAGAAATACAAATTTGCAGTCCCCACGCAAGGCCTGCAGAATCAGAAATGCTGGGGATGCAACCCAGCACCCTGTGTTTTAATATTAGTGGATTCATATACTAAAGTTCAAGAATCACTAGCTATACCATAACCTCCAGAGATTGGTTTAATTGGTCTGGAAATATAGATGAGCATTGATATCTTTTACCTGCCCTGGGAAAAGTGCAGCCAGAATTGAGAATAACTGATCTCTATCTGTTCCTTCCACTTAAAACCAAAAATACTGAGTCTAGTGAGAATAGACTATCCAAGCTATCAGGTTTGATGCTATTCTTAAGTTTTCCAAAACAAGGAGCTAAAGAGGATTTCTTGTGATACCACACAGCCAGTATGGGACAGAAATGAGAAGAGAAGCCAACTATTTCAACCTCTAATGTTACTCATAAGCGTTCCCCCCCCAATAATGTTAAAGGCTATATAATTAATTTTCATTCACCTTAACATATATATTCTCAATGGGACAAAAATTCGTTCTTGGGGTGAAAAACATATTAGATAGTGCAATGAATTGTGCCCCTCCAAAGCTCAACCCTACCCAGTAAATCTTACTCTTTAGCATTAATTTCTCTCATTAGGGAAAAACAGAATTTAAAGTTAAATTTATTAATTAAATTTAATTTGGTTGAATTTAATTTTTCTCGGGGGGTAGTAATGAAAAAAAGATTGAGAAAAATGCATTAAGAGGTCTCATAGTTATATTACAATCCAGGATTATTGTGTTCCATGTGCTTTGTATAGTCCTCTAATAGTAGCTACTTGTGGCAAGATGTCTGGAGCCAGATGTTTACAATTAAATTCCTGGCTACTCTTTATAATTTCGCTCTGTCCATCATGGACAGTGTCAGAAAACACAATGGTCACTATCATTATTTTACCTGGATTGTAGCAGAGAAGTTAACATATTGATGCATGCAATGAAAAGATAAATATTTCATTAAATTTTTAAATGCTCAAATAATCCCAAATGTATTCTGGGAATGAGTATCTCAGGCTGGGTAAACAGTTACTGAAATTTTTTCCTCAATGTCAGTAGCTCTGTTTGATATCTACTAATAAGTATATGGTAATGTATTTAAAATTGATTTCCAAAATCTTATTGGAATATAACGAACACACAATCATCTTAGGGCTAAATGAAAGATGCTGTCTCACGTATACAAATAGATACTTAATTTCTTTAAAAATAAAGCTATTTTTCCTTATGTGGATTTATTTTGTCAATGGGAAAGAAGAATGTATCTTTTTTTTCTTTTTAAGATTTTACTTATTTATTTGAAAGAGAGAGAGACAGCGAGAGAGGGAACACAAGCAGGGTGGAGTGGGAGAGGGAGAAGCAGGCTTCCCGCTGAGCAGGGAGCCAGATGCGGGGCTTGATCCCAGGACCCTGGGATCATGGCCTGAGCTGAAGGCAGACGCTTAACATCTGAGCCACCCAGGTGCCCCAAGAAAGTATCTTTAAATGTTTATAAACTGTTATTATTAATATGAAAAATGAGCACCCCAAAATATGTTAATTGCACTTTTTTGGTCACTAAGGATTGAAAAAAATTGGAACTCAAGTCAGAAGTTCCCATCCTACTTTTACCAGTACTTACCTAAGGGGTCTGAACAAGTTACCATATATATCTAATCTGACCTCAGTTTTTTCCATCTTGTCAAAAGACAAGGTTAGAGTTTTATTTCCAAGTTTCCTAATACACTTCTAGCAGAGTCAGTTCTTCTAATGAATGTTGTTTTTCTGTTGGATAATTAGACTTTTAAGTTTTTTTATTTCATTTTTTCTAAGAAGTGCCAGTGTTTCTAATTGGATATGAAAAGTAAAAATAATTTAAAAATGGCACTATAAAAATTAAAAAGATATTAGAGAAGAAAAGCTATACTTTAATAAAGTTACATGAAGCAAGAAAGCAGGAAAATTGTGTAAATGGACGGAGGACTTAAGTTTAATATTAGCATACAGGCAAACATTCATCATCTGAAAGATAACTACAAATAAATGCAAGGGATTTTAGATTTTCCTTGCTGGCCACTGTTGATCTCATCAGCAGAGGTAAGATCTGAATGTCACAGTGGTAACAGTTTGTCAGAATTTGGTTTTTAGAATATTGAGGTAGAGAAACTTCATGAGTTAAACCATGAATTGCAATCTAAAATCAACTAAAGTTTACTCTTGAAATTCATGGGTCTGAACTGCATGGGTCCACTTATATGCAAATATTTCTTGATACAGTACTGTAAATGTATTTTCCTTATGATTTTAACATTTTCTTTTTTCTAGCTTACTTTATATAGCATACAATACATATACAAAGTATGTATTAATGTTATCGGTAAGGGTTCCAGTTAACAGTAGGGTATTAGTAGTCAAGTTTGGCAGGAGAGTCAAACATTACGCATGGATTTTTGACTGCATGGGGGAGGGGGCCCTAATCCCCACATCGTTCAAGGGTCAACTATACTTCTGAGTTATTTAAATTTGAAATCAGGTATTATTTCCCCACCAATTTTCATATCCAACAACTTTAAATATATGTATTTAAAGCAAAAAAAAAAATATATATATATATATACACACATATGTATATATACACACTCATACATGTATACACACACTTTTATTGAACTGGTTTGAATGAAAAATCTATATGATTATATAACAAACCAGCATAAAATAGAATGTCAAACTCTCTTTGGATATAATAACCTTGACTATATTAGAATCACATGGATAGCTTTTTCTTAAATGTGATGTTACAGTAACATTCCCTTACCTCTTCTCAGAGTCTTGAGAAGAAGATTACCATAAGAGCTGACTTCCAGATTAGTGCAAGACTGGGATATATTCAAGAGTTAACTCACCCACTGTGCTACCCATGAAAATCCTTGGGCATGGTCCAGTCCACATAGGGTGAATTCAAAAAGGTATCTCTTGTTGGTCTCTAGAAATAATGGCAAAAAAATAATGGCAATGAGTGCTAACTCTTCACCAGGCTACTTCATGTTCCTTATTTATCCCCTACAACATCCCTATGAGGTGTGTATAATTATTAAAATTTTACAGATAAGGACATTGAAATTCACAGAGGTTAAATAACATCCTTGCTCAAAATTGTACTGTTACTAAGGAACAGCGTATATACATGAGCCCAAGTTTCACCCCAAAATTCATGCCCTTAGTTGACTGACACATAAAAGTCTTCCAACATTGGAAAAGATCGGGGCAAATTCTCAGTTTAAAACCACACTTCTATTTAACAATCACACCATGCTAGGACATGTGAGGGATTAGAAATACACAGGCTCTGTCCTAAAGTAACAATTTAGTAAAAAATATTAAAGCAAAGATCTATAACATAGAACTTAACTGGAAGAGTAAAAAAGAGAACCAAGAACCACATGGGAGTCCTAAAACATAAAATGAAGTCTACTCTTCTTGGAAGCCACATAAACTAAAGTTATTAGTAAGCAGGTCAACTCTTCATATTCAGGTTCAAACGTTCACCTTGCATACTTAGCAAATTTCCCCTTTGGTGCTGAGGAAACCAAAATGGAAAGGGAATAATGAAAACCGATCCAAGTAAACTTAATGGGAGATGGGATATCTGGGCCTATTGAGAGAATTTGGGTCATTAATTAGAATGACAACTATAGGGGCGCCTGGGTGGCTCAGTTGGTTAAGCCTCTGCCTTCGGCTCAGGTCATGATCCCAGGGTCCTGGGATCGAGCCCTGCATTGGGCTCCCTGCTCAGTGGGGAACCTGCTTCTCCCTCTCCCTCTATTTACTGCTCTGCCTACTTGCGCTCCCTCTGTCAAATAAATAAATAAAACTTAAAAAAAAAATAGAATGACAACTATATCACAACCTGCTTGGCAGTCAGGTTCTTATACCATGCACCTGTTCTCAGAGTCTTAAAAAAAAACAACAACTTTATTTTACTTTATTGGTGGGTTGGCCTTGGCACTTTCTTGGTAAAGATTAAAGCTTAATAAAGTTTAATAAAAAGAAGAATGGGGTACCTGGCTGGCTCACAGTTGGTAGAGCAGAAGACTCTTGATCTTGGGCGTTGAGTTTAGCCTTGCATTGGGGGGGTAGATTGTACTTAAAAAAAAAAAAGAACACTTTAAAAAATTAATTAACATAAATAAATTATTAAGTGCCTGTTAAAAGCAGTCACCATGTTGAATCAATTAAAAAATACTCAAATTCTCTAAGTTTAATACAAATGTCAACACTTCTTTACAGTTCCTAGGAACTAAATTTCATAAATATAATATTTAAAGTCCTTTTGGTACACTTACTCCCTTTGATGAAGGCAACAAACTGCTAATTTCATTCATTTTTGCAGCAATTATCAAGATTGCATTTGTAAATTTCAGTAGTGTTTTAATCTGTGACTGTATGGAACCCTGTATTAAGTGGTTAAAAAAAAGTACCCCTTTCAAAGACCATTCATGAATGAATGAAGAATAACTTCAACTGAGTCCGGATTATTCACATAAATATGATTTTTGTTTTATGACAAATTTAGTACAGATGTTTATAATAATGGAAGATACCCTAGGCTTGAAGTAAAAAAATTCACGTCTCTGTGACTTGCATCTTAGGCACATTTACTTCAACTTTCTGAGCCTGTTTTCTCAACTATTTAAGTGGAGATAGTAAGACCTGTGTCAGGACTATGAAAGTAACATGTGAACACAAATGGATGTGCCCGACACACCTCAGATTTCTGGAGATTGTCAAACCAGACAGTATCTCTGACGCAAATCAGATATCCAAGGCTCAAGCTGTGACTCTGTGGAGCAGGGGATTCAAAAAGAGTACAGGTAATTTTTGTTTGTTTTTATGATAAACACTGATTACAGAAACTTGAGTCAACTAGAGATAAAGGAGAAGCAGTAGCAGCAACAGGAATCGTGGGGAGAAAGGACCCTGAGTAGGTTAGAGAAGCCTTTTGTGAGTCTGGTCTAAGCTGAATACCCAGAAATGGAAAAGAATGCCCAAGGAGATTCTTTTATGTAGGCACCAGGGAAATTATGAAGAATGACCCTACTAACGGCAATATGGCCTGAGCAGACCAAATGATACTTCTTTGGTGAACAGAGGACGAGAGAACCTCATAACTGATTTGAAGGTCTGCATAAGGAATTATTTGGGTCTAGAATTAACAAAAACAAGGCGGGCGCCTGGGTGGCTCAGATGGTTAAGCATCTGCCTTTGGCTCAGGTCATGATCCCAGGGTCCTGGGATCGAGTCCCACATTGGGCTCCCTGCCCCTTGGGAGCCTGCTTCTCCCTCTGCCTCTCTCTCTCTCTCTCTCTCTCTCTCTGTCTCTCATGAATAAATAAAAAGTTTTTAAAAAAGAAAAGGCAATGAAAAGAAATGAAACAGGGATATAGGAGTAAACCAATTGGTAAGTGAAACCTACATAATGTCTAATTGAGTCTAATTTTATTAAACAGAACAGAAACCATGGTAATCTAACAAATGAGGAGCACCAACCTACTAGAAAAATGAATACTACTGGTTAAAGCTGATAATAAACCAAGGGCAAAAAAATGACATTTTTCTGACCATGTCCAGAAAAGGATAAGAGATAATGCTTGAAACAAGTGGTTGATGCAGAAAAAATCAATCACTAAATTGAAAAGGTAAAATGAACACTATAAGGAAAATTTAGAATTAAGTTGCGTGTACAGTTTGCAAAGAAAACCTAGCTCTCTAAAACTTAAAGTTCTCCAGGCCTAGAAAAAATTATACTTAAGTAAAACTTGCAAGTACAGATTGCATCAAGAGTCAGCAGGTCTGTTTAATAATAATTTGGGGCCATTTATGTAAAATTTTTGTTTAGATGGCTAAAAATACCATTCATTTTCACAGGTCTTGCAATATCCATAGCTCCCTCAACTCCAGAGATTGCAGAAGTATTTAGCTTCCAAAACTTCATGTGACAACTGCTGAACAGCAAAACATTATTGGTAATTAGATTGAGATGTCTGAGATCATTTGTTTCTATACACTGTGTCAGTCCCAATTTTTTTGGTTATTCTTTCTTTTTGAAGCAACACACTTGTAGGAAAAGAAATTAAGCACTTAAAGAATACACAAAGATTAATTTCTTCCAAAAGTCTATCTTAAGCTCACCCAGAAAAGAATAAGATCAGTTAACAAAAATGTAAACAAGAATGGTGCATTAAGAGTAGTTTTCCACTGGGGCGCCTGGGTGGCTCAGTCGTTAAGCAGCTGCCTTTGGCTCAAGTCATGATCCCAGAGTCCTGGGATCGAGCCCCACATCGAGCCCCGCATCGAGCCCCACATCGAGCCCCACATGGGGCTCCTTGCTCAGCAGGAAGCCTGCTTCTCCCACTCCCATTCCCCCTGCTTGTGTTCCCTCTCTCACTGTATCTTGGTCAAATAAATAAAAATCTTTATAAAAAAGTTTTCCACTAAGCGAAATAAGTCAGTCAAAGACAAATACCATTATGATTTCATTCATATGTGGAATTTAAGAAACAAAACAAACAAGGAAAGGGGGGGAAAGATAAATCAAGAAACTACTCTTAATTATAGAGAACAAACTGATGGCTACCAGAGAGGAGGGAGTGAGGGGTTGGGTTAAATGGGTAATAGGGATTAAGGAGTGCACTTGCTAAGATGAGTACAGGGTGATGTATGAAACTGTTGAATCACTATATTGTAGACCTGAAGCTAATATAACACTGTATGTTAATTAACTGGAATTAAAATAAAAACTTAAAAAGCCAAAAATGTTTTCTACTAAAAACAGTATTTTAAGTAAATGACTAAAATCAAGAAATGGTGCTTCAATTACCTTCAAGAACTGCACTGGTTGAATAGGAAAAATTATGTTCATGAGCATGCAGTTAGGCTTTTCCAAGAAAAAAATGTCTTAGAAATTTGGTGGCTTTTTTTTTTTTTTTGAAGCTTCAGGAAAATGCTTACTGTGACAATTGGATAACTTTAATGAATTCCCAACCTTTTATTAGCCTAGACAACACAGAATTTTATTTTTATTTTTTGGTGAAAAGAAGAAATACAGCAGAGTGACAGACTTTATTTTTCCTTTGAGCACATAGAAGAAGACTAAAGTACTTAATGATCCTTGTTTAGTTTGACAGAGCAATTCTACAAGTACTTACACTGGTTAGGAACATAAAGTGTCAAGTACAACATTATTATTAGGGCAAGAAATATCAAGACAATCGAGTTAGAGTTTTTCTTTTTGAGATTACTTTCACAAGACACAGCAACAATTTGCAAAATTTCAAAGATCACATTCAAATTATATTTCTTACAACTATATATACAGACAGACCAGAACAAGCTGATATATTAATGAATATTCACAGGTTTCATACTGCACAGGAACAAGTTTGATATTTTTGCACACATTCTCAATTACAAGCAAAAAGCAGACCTGTAAATGTCAATTTTGCCAGCAAGCAAAAATAGAGAAAGGAATTAATAGGATTTTACTCAAATACAGTGAAATAAGGAGTATATACCATTAATCTTCCACATAGAAAAGAACACTCCTATAATAATAGAGAGAAAACATCCAGACTTGCATTTTTCTGTATAAAAAATCTACTGGTGAATTCAAGGGAAAACTACTCCAAGCATCCTCTTTAAACATCAACCACTTTGATTCTCCCACCTCTCCTGAGAGAAGCTTCAGGGACCTCTCCCCACCATCCCCAACCCTGCAGGGTTCCAGTCTTCCCTGTGCCTTTCCAAGACTACTCCACAGCAGGTTCATTTCTGTTTCTGGGCGTTCAGGTTCCTCAGGCCACAGCACCCTCCCCACTTGCTGTGCCCAGACCTCCCAAACACACTTAGAGCTTAGAGCAAGGCCTTCAAAAAAAAGGAGAAAGGCAGACAGTCATTACTAGCACTATATACCACCCAAGTAAGACAGCCCTGACGGCACTGCTGTCCCACCTACTGGAAATCCAGACACCACACATCCCCATACCGCCCTAGGAGGGAAGCCCGGCATCTCCCACAGTGTAGACTGCAGCCTGCTCCCTGTTTTTGGGAGAGAAGCAGGGAAGGAAATGTGGAAGCTGAGGAGGGAGAGCCAGGAAGGCCAGGCCATAGGATGGAGGCCCCGGGGACATCAAAGCAGTAATAAAATAGAGGACAGAGGTGACCCTCAAAATGCTGCCCTGGGGTTATTTCTAAGTGATCCAAGGCCACCCCCCCCCAAATTTCCAGGTTTAAAAAAGAGTGAAACTAAGTTTTGGTTGCTTTAGACCACACCCTGCTCTGGGTCTGCCTTAAATCCATCACTGTGAGCCCCCTCCCCCCGTCTTTCCCCTCTGCTGCTCAAACTAAACTCAAGAAACACACAGGTTTTGGGAAAAGGGTGGGGTCGTCAAAGTTGGCCCAAAAGAACACTGCTCATAACTAAACAACCTACAGGTCTCCCTTTGAAACTTTCAGACCCTACTAAGAAGGAAGTGGGGGGAAGCATGAGGGCAGAAGAGCACAGTAAGAGATCTGGAGTCTCCTGTACAGTACCTTTCTCCCTCTGGACACAATCAAGGTGAGAGCAAATTAAACAAAAAGCCTGCTTTTGCCAGTTCAGTTTTCTGTTTCCGAGCTGTAACTGTTTGAGAGAGGGAGGAAGGGAGGGAGAGGGAAGCAGAGAGAACAGGGTGGTGGTGGCGGGGCGGGGGGAGGGGGGGTGAGAGAAAGAGAGACAGATACAGAACAGGCCCCACAGACCAGAAACACCTCTCCCTCAGGGCCGCCACCCTAGCAACTTCATCCTGTCATTCTGAGAATGAGTGCAAGAGCTAGGAGGGGGATACCTAACAAAGCTGCCCAGATTAAGGGTGTTTGTTGGCTACAGCTCAGAAAGCCTAACTGCTGGAAGTGAACCATTCCCAGCCTTGTATAGTCATACACGATCATGTATGACTGCCCAACCTGCCCAACAGCCAACTGGGTTTATAGGTAACTCTTTGATGGGGCAGGGAGTTTGAGGGGAAGTTCCCTATGTGCTGCCTGGGATCTTAAGTCCACAGATAGTTGCTGAGGAAGCAGGCAGTGGTGCCTATGCGAAGTTTACCCAGAAGGCCGAGAGCAGGTTTGGGTGGGCCATAGCACAGACCTTCATACTCACCAGTACCTGTTCACAAAGCAGAGTGCCCAAAGGCAAAAGAAGACCAATGCAGTAACACTGAACACCTCTCATCTGTTACCTCATTCATGCCTAGCAGCCCCCACCAGCCACCTTATTCTGCCAGATAACCAGCTGGGTGGATGGCACAGGCCAGGAAGGCAGCTAGGAACCAGTCAGTGGTAGCCAGAATGTCCAGTTTGGGTTGACGGCTGGCATCATCTAGATCAGCTTCATCTTGCAGCAGTGAAATTCAAAGAACTTGACATACAGTACATGGGTATCAGGAGGACAGTCAGCATTAAGTATGAAGCCCAGCTAGTTATTTGCAAAGGTATTTCAAGCTTCTTTGTGGTAGATAACCACTTAAAAATCTGGGAGAAGACCATGGTCACAGACAGGGCCCAAGGCATGCAAAGGAAGGCAGTGCCTATCTATCTACAGCATCATGTGCTTGGCATAGAAGCAGTGCAAGGCCATGCACTTGGAACATGTAACAGGATACAGAAGAGCATGAAGGTCCAGAGGAAGAAGAACACAAGCGTATAAGAGTCAACCTTGCAACTGATTGTTGAAGATTTGGAAGAACCAAAGAATAAAATACTCCAGTATGAAGAGAAAGCAGATAGAAGACTGCATGCTGTTGGCTAAGCATAGGTTCAAGGGGATGTGGTGAGGAGACTTGTGCAGGAGCTTCTCACAAGGTCATCAGTTAGCCAGACTGGAACCTGAAGGACCTGGGGCTCTCCACTGGCTGCCTTGCTGGGTCTCGAATTCCACGGCGAGGCCCTTCACCCATCAGGTAGTATTGTAGGGGATTGGGCCACAGTTCTGCTTTGATAATCTCCGCAATCCTGTCGAATTCTAGAAGGCTGTGGTCTGAGAACCAGTTAAAGAAACTAGGGATAGTGTTTCCTTCCCGGTTCCTGTGGATATGGGACTGGGGGTCTTGGCCCCTGTGCCAGCGGATTGGAGTGGAAAGAGACACCACCCTGCCAGAGGATCTGCGCTCATATTCTTTGACGAGCCCCTCATTTCGGAAGTAGGGGTTGCTCTGAAAGATGAACTTGAATTTGCAGCCTGCTCTGGGGTGTTTGAGCTCCTCCACCTCCAAATTGATCATGTACCTCATCATGTCTTCATCTTGGCCACTGATCATAGGTGACAGCTGGGGGTGGTTCCGAAAGGCAGTGACCCAGAAACCTGGGATATTTTGGATAATGAAACTTCTGCGCTGCATATGAAGCCTTCGCATGCGGCCAAACTTGCGCTCCAGCTGAAGGAAGGCCCTGTCAGCCTGGGCATTGACATTTGACAGCTCCTGATCGATGGCCTCCAGCGAATCCATACAGTTATTGATCTTCGGGGCCTTGCCCCGTGTCTCCTCTTTCATTCCTCCTACCACCTTTTTTTCCTTCTGCATCACCTTCTTCTCCTCCACCACCTCCTCTGCTCCTCCCTCCTTTTCCGCAGCCGCTGAAACGGCGCACTTTTTTGTCATTTCCTTGGCCTTCGCCCCAGGCGTCATCTGAGACCCCAACCCCCCTGCGCCACAGGCTTCTAGAGCTTTCTCCCCAGCAGGGCCCTGCGGCTCTCTACGCTGACAGCCATTTTCCTGGCTATTGTCGGTCGCCACCGCAGCGGAGGCTGAGGCAGGGGCTGCTGCCAAACCTTCCGTGGGAAGCAGAACCTCTTTCTGGCCCGTTCTGGTCGCTACACGGCCGCGACTCCCAAAAACTCGAACGCGGAGCACCGGCGCACAACTAGCGGGGTTCTGGGGTGCGCCTCCCTCCGCGGCGGTCTCCAAGCCGCCCTCACCTGTGTCCGCCATCACCGGCGTCGCCTCGGTTTCCTCGCCCTGGCTCTGGTTTAGGTCCGGATGTCCCGGGGCATGGTCGCCAGTAGCTAGGCCGCAGTCTTTAGCGACAGAAAGATTGCTGCCCTCATCCAGGCCGCTCATTTTGGTAGAAGGCAAACCTGCAGGAGGAGAGCGTCCCTTGTCCTCCGCAGAAGCCGCGCTCCGCCCCAATCCGCCCCTCTTTTCCACTCGGGAGGGATGCTGCTATGGCAACCGGTGACATCACGGCAGCGGCGTCGTCACATCGCGCGAGAATTCGCTGAGCCTTGTGATTACGACAGTCAAGGGTATGCCTTTGTCTTTGTGTGGTGGTGTGTAAGATGTGATGGTCTGGAGTAGATTTGTAAAAGATTTGGTTTACATGACTGGGTGCAGACCAAATTCAAACATGTGAGAATTGTGTTAATGTGCATTTCTAAGGCTCTGAATGAATTTCTAAGTCACCTACACTGTTAATTTTCTCTTAAAATACTTAAAAGATAAGAAAGGTTAAGTAATTGTTCGAGTCCGTCCGCTCATAGGGCCTTTCGTGGATGGTAAGATGGACTCAGCAATTCACATGCCTGCTTTTTTTAGTGTACAGATTCATGACTATTACCAAAGAATTGAGATGAGCAGTTTCGTCTTAAGAGAAGTGTTGATTTAAAAACTTAGAAGCTGTGGAAAGGGAGGCTTCTCTCATCCTAACAAGACATAATGAAGAATTATTTCATGTATTTATGTATGTTGGCCAACACCTGTGAAGCTGTTGGACAATATTACCTCTTCACTTTTAACTAATATAAGTAGCAAATGTATTTTCCTTACTTAGAGCCGACCCACACCCGTGAGCACGCAAATTTAGCCTTTAAGCATTACTGAAAAAGACGTGATCTCAGATTTTAATTTCCAAAATTGTGCATATATGTTGCTTATTCTCAGGTTATAATCCTAATCTAAAAGGAGTTCTTGCTTTATAATGCCTGTGGGCATGAAGCCAGCAAATATTTGCCAAAATTTGCCCCTATGATAGTTTACTGCAGGATGGAAGCAATAATCAACTGTTTGGGGCACTGAAACTATTAATTGTCCAAATTAAAATAGTTTAAGTAACATTTAAAATGTTAATGTTAAAATATTTACTTAAAATTTCTCTTTTCAAGTCGGCTCATACAATTCATCTAACAGTAATGTCAATACTGTTCTATGTATTGTTTGCTGGAATATGGAAAAACTGGTGTTAATACTTAGACAAATACAAGAATGAAGGAAAACTTAAATTTTGCATATTTTTGTTTAACATCTTAAATTCATATTAGAAAAATGTTTATGATTATAACTCTTTGTAATAGAAACTACACTACAGAGCACCGCAGATTATGATCACTTTTAAATTAGGACTCAGAAGAGGATCCAGTGAAAAGTAAGGATGTAGGGGAAACACATTTACAAAAAAGTAGCTGATATATTGAGGGAAGTAGTGCAGATCCTGTGCAACTAAGAATGAGGTGCTGATAAAAAAACACTGGCAGACATCACAGAGAAACAGCCTCTCATGCAGCTTCATAGTTTAGCTCACAAAGATTTACTAGAGAATTTATAAGCAATTAAGATATTTTTGTACCCCTAATCAGCCTATTCAAGGACAGACTGTCCAGATTGACTGCTGCAGCTAATCAGGTAACCCATAAAAATTGTGCAAACAAGATTCACTCTTCTCAGACTACAATTACTTTTCTCTCCTTTTTTTCCTCTTTTAAAAAACCTATTTTGCCTCTGTGGGGTGAAATCAATCTACTGATTTATCCTCTTTGTAAGTAAGTAAACAATGTGCTATAATTAAATGACTTTATGACTTTGGGTTATTCTTTGACACTACTCTGCCTTGTCTCCTTTCTTATGAAATCTTTGCGGTGTGGAAGGATTAATTCTCTAGGATTATAACCTGAGCCAAGAAGCAGAGAAGCAGCAAATGTGGAATGAAAGTTCCTTTGCCATACAAGAAAGAAAGAATTTGCTATTTGCAACAGAAAATTAGAAAAGTATGTAAGACTGCTACTACCTGTGCACCTTTTTTCTCATTGCATATACCAAACCTTTTTAAAGATTTTTATCTCTACTACTTGAAATATACCCATCCCTAGCTTTAATTATTCCTGTCAACGGAATCAATTTCCCACTAATAATAACCTGCCCATTCTTGAAACTCCATTCAAGCCTACCTCATGTTGATTGCCTTAGGCATTTTAATGCATTTAATTTCATAAACAAGGACCCAGGAATCACAGAGTAGTTAACTCACTCATGGTAAGATATTAATTGCCAAACTGCCTCTTCCCATCTCCTATGCATAACCTTTCCTTATCACCTTACCATTCTGATAGGCCTCTGAATTTCTATAGCTCTTATGACCTTCACCATGCAAATTAGAATTTACCTTCTATCTTTAATTTTCTTGGTGGTTTTATGCAGATCGGTCTCCTCATCCCGGCTAGACAAGGATGGCCGCATAGGGGCTTCTTCCTTGGCATCTACGATAATATAACCTAGTGACTATCTCATTGAAGACTGCAATGAATTTGATTATTTGATTTAAATGCAAAATTTAAAAGGTTTTACCAAAATGAATGATATGACTGTGCTAGCATTTTATTTTGCGTTGAGTTGATATATATTATAGGTATGAATCATTTTATCTGCATATTAGAATATTGGATTTTGGATACACAACAAAGCCTGTTCTGTAGGCAATTGGCAATAAGCCTCACTACAGAGAAAAAGATATATCAGTAACATGACCGTATGGAAAAATATTTGCAGGAAATGCCATGAAAATCCAGGAGGTAATTTTCATTTGCCACAGGACTAGTAGGACTTTAACAAAAGTTCAAACATAATACAGTCAAATAGGAATGACTTTACTAAACTGTATAGTAAATACTGGAAAATTTAGGAAATATCCACTGCTGTTTATCTTTTCAAAATGATAGGGTTTCTGGTTATGTATTCATTATAGCCTACATTTAGTTAGTGTCTTCTAAAGGTGTTATCTCATTTAATCCTCAGAACAACCCCGAGAGGTAACAATATTATGACCTCCATTTTACATTACCTCAGAAGGAACTCAAGCAAAGAGGAACTGAGTGGTTTATCCACAGTCACACAGCACTGATAGAGCCGTAATCTGACTCAAGAACCTGCACACTCACTCCTTATATTGTCTGCAATTCTACGCAACATATAAAATGCAAAGGTGCTTTCTTAGAAATAAGACCGTGTGGTCATCCCAATTTAACGTTAAATCTTATCATTCTATTCCCCTCTGCACATCCGGGAAGATACTAGTTGTTGTTGGGGAAGTGCCCAATCACTAAAAGGAGAAACAAGAATTCAGGATCCTGGATTCAATGCCATTAAGTCAACAGTTCTCAATCCATCAGATGTTAACATTCCCTTTGTTCATTTGTTATTTCTTTATTGGTATTGTGTAGACCCAGTCTTATTGGATGAGGGCAAAAGACATGGGCTGCATTTCCATCTCTGCCTTCATGAGCAATGGGAATTTGGGCAGGTGGTTTAACTTTTTTAATCTCAATTTCCACATTTTATAAAATGGGAATCATTAGGGGCACCTGGCTGGCTTAGTCAGTGGAGCATGCGACTTTTGATCTTGGGGTTGTGAGTTCACGCCCTAAGTTGTGTATAGCCTACTTAAAAAAAAAAAATGGGAATAGCAAGATCACTCAACCTGTCTTTATCCACTGCTCAGAGTAATGTGTCAATATTGTAATGTGGGTGAACCTTCCTTGTAAGTCGCTTCCCTGATGTTGCTTTCCTCCTCCCTCACCCCCATCTCCATCTTTCTTTTTTTCCTTCTTTTCTTTAAAAGTTATTTCATGGACCATTACAGCCAAAAGATACTGAATTTTCAAACAATTTCCCCTAAATGACCCTTAACATATGGAAGGAGTTATGTCCCTATGACTTGAGTCACCTCTCCAGGGCTCCAACGCCCAGAATTAAGTTGAGCAGCAACAGAAGCTTTCTATGGAAACGCTTCTCTTCCTCAGACAAGACAAAGGCATCTTCAGCAGACAAACCCTGTGTGTCCAGGGCCAGGCAAAATTGCCATTTCCAACAGAAAGCTGTCCTGCTTTTTGGGAAAACAATGGCTGAAGAACAGCTTCCTTCACATTCAAAGAAGATGCTAGTCTAATTGAATTTCTTGCAGGCAAGAATCAAGGGTGGATCTGGCTTTGGTACCAATTCAGTGTGAAGTTTGATGTGGTGGCCATGAAAATGCACCTCGCAGTCTTCCAAATATAAGGAGAGTAATTGTTCAAGAACCTGAATGCTGCACCCTGCATCTATAGCCTCCTTTGCATTCTGGCCCTACCTCCTATGAGCTGCTCCAGCCAATGACTGAGTATGGCTAGGAAACTAAGGCAAGACCACTCCTAAAAGATTTGGGACTCAGTTGGCAGCTGACTCTGGCTGGCTCAAGGACTCCCTATTGACCTTGCTGAATCCTTCCTTGGATGGCACAAGAGACTAGAACACTTCTACCCAACTTTCTCTTGCTCTCTTTTTCATTCAGAATCAGATTTTCTTTCTGGTCAAATGCCTCTTCCATCTTCTTTCTGGCTCCCTCCCCATTTCACTCACTCACACAGTCATTTCCCCTAATAAAATCTTTGCATTTCCCCTAATAAAATCCCCTAATAAAATCTAATCCTAGCTTGATTTCTGCTTTTCAGAGGATCCAGAATAACATATTTAACAGATCGTTTAAACCCCTTAGTTCCCATTTTTACATCTTGCAAACTGGGGGCCGAAGGACAGAGAGAAGAGCTAGAAGCGAGGAAAGATTTAGTGCAATAAGAAGAAGGTCATGCCTACACTAAATGACATGATGAAGTAGTTAGATGCCTGTATCTTAGAATTGCTAGTTCCTTATATATTTTGGAGATTAACCTCTTCAGATAAATGGTTTGCAAATATTTTCTCCCATTCTGTAGGTTCCTTTTCACTTGATTTGTTGATAAAATAAAAAGTGTATTAGAAAGTTTTGTGTCAGAGTTTGGCAATTGTTCTCATTCTCAGTGTTAAATGATGATGTATCTTACAAGCAGTGTGGTAGCCGTAGAGTTTAGAGTAGATGAAATAAGTTGCTTTCAAAAAATACAGTGTTTAAAACAGTGTGGGGAGGAAGGAGGGCCTGGCTGGCTCAGTTGGTAGAGCATATGACTCTTTTTTATTTGTTTGTTTATTTCAAGTTTTTATTTAAATTCTAGTTAGTTGGAATGCCTGGGTGGCTCAGTCAGT